AGGAAGAAGAAGAAGAAAGAAGAAAGAAGGAGAGGAGGAGGAGGAAGGAGGAGGAGGAAGGGAGGAGGAAGGAGGAGGAGGAGAAGAAAGGGAGGAGGAGGAGGAAGGAGGAGGAGGAGGAAGGAGGAGGAGGAGGAGGAAGGGAGGAGGAAGGAGGAGGAGGAGGAGGAAGGGAGTAGAGGCAGTTGCTAAGCCCTTTGTATGCACTGTGCCGTTTCCTCCTGGCGCGCTCTCTTCAGCAGGCACCATTCTATTACTCCTTCAGCTGAGGAGGACACTTGAGCCTCAGAGAAGTTAGTCACTTGCACAGAGTCACACAGCAACTAAGTGAAGAAGCTGGGACTTCAACCCAGGTCTAAGAGATGCTAAAGCACCCAGGGCAGCCTTATAGCTGCAGCTGCGTAGGTGCTGAGGGTTTCCTGGCAGGAGACCCTCTTCTCATTGGGAGCCCTAAGGTATAGGTAGCCAAAGCACAGATACACTCAGAGCAAAGTCGAGGACAGCGAAGCCTGGCCTGGCCGTGCGTCAGCCTACATGTTGGCGATTGTGTCTTTTCTATGAGAGGCACATGGTCAGACAGGAGTGTGCAGAGGGAGCAGCCAGGTGGAGAGGGATGGAAGCTGTGTATATGATTGGGAGCTCCGGCAAGGGTGTGCCCTGGTGGAACAGAGGCACTCTTCTGGGCTCTGAGGGGCTCTCTCTGGACCCAGTGCACAGACAGGCAGAAGAAGCATTGCCTGATCTCAACTGTCCAGAGCAGGTGGGGACACCCAGGAAGCCTGGATGCAGGGGCAGCTGTGGGGACCCTGAAGTGACCATGGTTTCGTCCTCTTGGCCTCTCTGCACAGCCACTGAGTGGCTCATGGACAAGCACCGGGCCCATGCCATCATCCTGGGGCACTGCTTCTTCGCCGTGGGGACCGTGTTGCTGACGGGGATCGCCTACAGACTTCCCCACTGGCGGCTGCTGTTTCTGGTGGGTGGGGTACCTGCATTCCCCCTCATCTCCTATATCTGGTGAGCAAGCAAGTACAGGGCATTCACAGGGCTGGGTCTGATGGGCTGGGTGTCAATGAGTGTGGAGGGTCCTTGAAGGTGTGGGAATGGGAGGGATTTCCCCTCGGAGAAAGTGCATGTGGATGGGATGAGATAGGAAGGCACCAAGGGCAGAGCCTCTGAACCTCAGCCTTAACCTCCCCCTCCCAGAGAAGACCCTGCAAGAGATGTCAGACAGGTGGTCAGAAAACCAGGAGGAGGAGTGTTGAAGGCCAAGGGTATAGGGACAAGGGAAGGGTCAGAGTTGAAGGCAAGAGGGTTGTGTCTGGGGAAGGGTCTGCCAGCCTTAGTGACCTTCTAGAGGTGGCTTCACTGCAGTGGCAGAGGGTTGAGGAGAGATTAGGAACAGAAGAAAGGAGCCAGGAGAGGACTTTTGTAGAAGGAGGGAGAAAGGGATGATTTCTACAAGTCAGTCTGGGAAAGATATCCAATGTTTTGTGTGTAGGGGAGTCACAGACAGGAACCTGAGAGATTGAAGCTGTGAAAGGGCAACTGACAGGGCGAACCTTGGAGGAATAAGGCGCGACGGCACAGCTCGCTGTGGGCAGGAGAGGGAAAGGGGGCAGGAGAGAAGGCTGAGAGGGAGGTGAGAAGAGCCAAAAGAACTTGCGTGTGAAGGGTTAGGCAGTCCCACATGAAGTAATTATATTTAACCTTGACATTATTACATTTAATCTTGACCTTTCTAGAAGAAGTATGCTACTCCCATGTCATGGGAGTTGGGGAGGAGGGAGAACTGAGGCTTCAGAGGGTGGAAATAACTGGTCCAACATCACACAGCTAAAAAGTGGGGGACCTGGGATTTAAACTCAGGGGCTGTCTCCAAAGCCCCTGCATTCTAACTGCACCATATATAGTAAGGATGATAACAGATGGGGTTAACAGCATGGAGGCTGGGCACAGTGCCTCATGCCTGTAATCCTAAATTTGAGAGGCTAAGGTGGGAGGAGTATTTGAGGCTAAGAGTTTGAGACCAGCCTGGGCAACATGGCAAGACCCCGCCTCGACACAATTTTTTTTTTTTTTTTTTTTGAGACAGAGTTTCGCTCTGTCACCCAGGCTGGGGTGCAGTGGTTCTATCTCAGCTCACTGCAACCTCTGCCTCCCGGGATCAAGAGATTCTCCTGCCTTAACCTCTGTGCAGCCGGGACTACAGGTGTGAGCCACCATGCCCGGCTAATTTTTTTAATTTTTATTTTTAGTAGAGACTGGGTTTTTCTGTGTTAGCCAGGATGGTCTCGGTCTCCTGACCTCGTGATCTGCCTGCCTTGGCCTCCCAAAGTGTTGGATTATGGGCATGAGTCACCATGCTCGACTACACAGCATTTTAAAATTAACCAGGCACGGCGGCACATGCCAGTAGTCCCAGCTACTTGGGAGGCGGAGGTGGAGGATCACTTGAGCCCAGGAGGTCAAGGCTACAGTGAGTTGTGATTGTATTACTGTACTTCAGTCTGGGCAAAAGAGCAAGACCCTGTTTAAAAAAAAAAATTCAGTCCAGTTCAATGAAAAACTTGAATCTTACGTCAGATCCACAGCTTGTCCCTAGCCCCTCGCTCAGGATAGTGGCCAAAGCGGATGAGGTCTGTTCTGACCTAATGTTCTTCCTCCTGTCTCCTTGTTCTGATTTTCCAGGTTCTAGGCATGGGATGGGGACGTCAGACAAAATAGACCAAAGATTGACATGGCAGGGGCTGTTATAATCTCTCAGGGTCCTCTGTAGGGTAGACACTCAAATGCCATCACTCTCGGGTCCATTCGTGGGTCTTCTGAGCACTGGAGTTTCCTAACACTCCCAGCACTCTGTCTGTGGCTTCCCTCAGGTCCTATCCCTGGCAGTTCACCCCACAGCCTCTTTCTGTGGGGGGTCTCCTCAGCCTAGCACATGGGGTCCCTTTAAGACAGCAGGATCCACTTGGCCAAAACACCGCACCCTAGCCTTCACCCTCTCATGGTGATCAGCTCCCACCAACCTCCTGCCCTCATTATACCCAGATGAGAGATGGGCATCATTCTCTGGGTTTGTGTAGGCCCTCAGACTCCAGGTGACACATATTAACTCCTCTATAATCTCTCTTACTGTCTGAAGTACCAGGGCAAGCCCCCATGTTTCTGAATTAGCAAGTTCCAGCCAGAGTGGGACGGCAGGTGTCTCCCTGAACTCCCCTTCACCTAGCTTGAGTAGATGAGAGTTGTGTGGGGAGTGAGGAGGAGAGATTCAGGACCCTGTCACTTCCAGGAACTGGGTTTCCAGCCTCTATTGGCAGGCCCTTAGGAGGGAACGCCAATGTACCAGGGGTCTCAAGGTCCCTCTTTTGACATAGTGTGTCCCGTAGGCCCTGTCACTCTGGGCCTGTGATGGGAGGGGCAGAGCCAATGATCTGTAATGTATCCTTGGGTCATTCTTTTAGTGGCTTCCACTGATCTGTGCTGGCCTCCTTGTCAAACAGCAGCTCGGCCACGCCCTTGGCGTTCTCTCCCAAACACACTTTTTTATGCATGGAAAGTTAATAAACAACGTGGTCAACACAAGCACTTTCCAGATCTTTAATTTCTGCCTCCCTGTTGATTATAAATTCTAATTTGCTTCTCTCTTCTCACATTTTACTGTAAGTAGTCAAGATAAGCCATACCACACCCTCAACACTTTGCTTAAAAGCTTCTTCCACCAAATGTCCTCTTTCATCACTTACAGGTTCCTTCTTTCACAAACACTAGGGCATGAATACAGTTTAGCCAAGTTCTTGGCCATTTTGTAACAGGATTGCCATTTTTCTGAGGTTTTCTTTATACCACTCCTCTTCTGAGCCTTCACTAGAACCACCCTTGTCGTTCACTCATGGCTATGCAGGCTTTTTCTAGCATGCACCTCCAAACTCTTTCAGTTTCTGCCCGTCACCCGGCTCCAAAGCCATTTACACGTTTGTTAGATCAACATTCCACTCTTGGTACTAATTTCTGTCTTAGTCCCCATTTGAGTTGCTATAAGAAAATACCTTAGACTGGGTCATTTATAAACAACAGAAATTTGTTGCTCACAGTTCTGGAGGCTGGGAAGTCCAAGATCAAGGCGCCAGAAGATTTGGTGTCTGATGAGGGCCCTTGCAGACAGTGCCTTCTTGCTGTATCCTTACAGGGCGGAAGGCTACAAACAAGCTCCCTTAAGCCTCTTTCATAAGGTCACTAATCCAGTCCATGAGGGCAGAGCCCTCGTGACCAAACCACCTCCTAAAGATCCCACCTCTTGATGTCATTATATTACGGTGCAGTAGGAATTTTGAGGGACACAAGCATTCAGACGACAGCACTGCTGTCAGAAATGCCATCCACGTTTGGGCTTCAGTGCATTTGTTACGTCTCTCCCGCTGTGTCCTCTCTCCCCTTCTCTGTGTCCTTGAGAGTTGGTAACCTTTTTTTTTTTCCTGCTTTTTCAGTGGGCATGAGGCCAATCCCCCATCTTTTTGAAGTCCCAGTGTAACGGCTTTCTTTAGGAGAGTCCCACAGCCTTAGCGTGGGCAATGATGACTGACTGCTGAACCCTGGTTGAGCGGGAGGAGCAGGGCAGGTATAAGGAACAAAGCTGTTTCTAGTGTCCTGAGTATGTGTTTATGGCAACCAGTCGGAGTCCCGGTCAGGGAGGGTGCTGGTATAAGAAATCAGTAAGCATGGTTTATAAAACAGTCACCCCACCTTAGGGGCCTGAGGCTGTACCAGTCCCCAAGTACACTGCTCTGTCTCTCTGTCCTTGGGCAAGCCTTTACCCCTCGAGGCTGGGAGTAAAATGGGGATAATCATACTAGGTCCAGGTTTGGAAGAGGACTAAACAATGTATATACGAAGGCACTGAGTACCATTCCTCACACATAAGTGCTTTTGAAATCTGTGTGAATTCTGACTGAGAGATGGGGAAAAAACAGGAGTTATTCTGAAGTCAAAGGCAGCAGGGATGTGGCAGGGAGAGAGGTGGCAGAGCAGAGACCTTCACTCACCCTCCATTCACCTGGGCACAGTGCTGGGCACGGGTCAGACCCATGGTCCTGCCCCCTCATACCCCCACAGTTGCTGGGGAGACAGAGGGAACAGGAGAAAGCCCAGCTATGAGCATGGAGGCTCTACTGGAGGCGGTGGGCATGGAGGTGGGAGCCCTCAGTATGCCTCAGCAGACGGGGATGTCTCCCCAGATAGAAAAGGCGAGAACTCTCCGTGATGACGGAGGGCAAATAAAGGAGGCCGTAGACAGGGGCAACCGGTGATCAGGGTGTCACCTAGCAGCAGTGGGGGCCATGTGAGGCTTAGGCAGGGGAAGGGCTGACCACTAGGGAGGAGCAGAGGGCATTTGGAGGTCATTGGTGGCCTTCAAGGCCCTGACATCCAAATCACCTCATGCTGGCGCAGGATGTCCACAGTGGAGGCCAGGAGAGGGCCAGCAGGGGTCTCTGGGCATCATGGAATGATGAGATAAGAGAGGGGCTGGCCACACAGGATTCTCCCGGAGTCCCCACGGTGGCTGATGATGAAAGGGAAGGTGAAGGAGGCCAAGCAGGTGTTGTGCTACGCAGCGAGTGTGAACAAGAAGACCATTCCTGCAAATCTGCTGGACGAGGTGAAGGGCTTCTGGCCAGGGGTGTGGCCGTAGCAGTGGGTGTGGAAGGGCCCCTTTCCTCCCCATCCTTTCAGGTGGGACGTTGGTCCAGAGGGAGCCCCCAACCCACTGCTTAAGGACAATGGTGACAACAAAATTGAATCCTGCCGAGGAAGGCCAGAATCCAGCTGGCACTCTCAGGGGCAGGCAGGCCTGTGGGTGCTGTGGGACTGGGACCAAGCTGGGGCCTCCATCCTGCCTCTGACTGGTCCTGCTTGTTCTGTAGCTGCAGCTGCCCAGAAAGAAGGTGACTAAGGCCTCTGTCCTGGACTTCTGCAAGAATAGACAACTCTGCAAGGTGACGTTGGTGATGGGCTGTGTGTGGTGAGTGTCCAGGGCCCGCTGGCAGGGACTGCGAACAGGCATGCAGGCTGGAAACTCAGGAGAGGGGAGGGGAAGGGTCAGGCTGCAGGGGAGGCAGCCCAAGGACACAGGTCACAGTCTCTGTGCTTATTTCTCTCCTCTGTTCCTACCCTGACCCTCGCTGCTCTGCCTCTGTCTTTATTGCTGCCTCCGTGTGTGTGTGTGTGTGTGTTTGTGTATGTGTGTATGTGTATGTGCGTTTGTATGTGTGTGTGTTTGTGTGTATGTGTGTATATGTATGTGTGTATGTGTGTACGTGTGTGTATGTGTGTATGTGCATGTGTGTGTATATGTGTGCATGTATGTGTGTACATGTGTGTATGTGTATGTGTGTATGTGTTTGTGTATGTGTATATATGTGTGTATGTGTGTACATGTATATGTGTGTTTGTGTGTATCTGTGTGTATGTTTGTGTTTGTGTGTGTGTATATATGTATGTGTGTGTGTTTGTGTGTGTATCTGTGTGTATGCATGTATGTGTGTGTGGATATGTGTGTGTGTATATATGTGTGTATGTGTATATGTATGTGTATATGTGTGTATGTATGTGTATATATGTGTATGTGTGTATATGTGTGCGTGTATGTGTGTACGTGTGTGTATGTATGTGTTTGTGTGTGTATCTGTATGTATATGTGTGTACGTGTGTGTGTTTGTGTGTGCATATGTTTGTGTGTGTGTGTGTGTGTGTGTGTGTGCATGCACATGCCTCCTGGCTTCACCTAGGTTTACCATCAGTTACACCTATTTTGCATTGATCCTGAGAATGAGAGTGCTGGGCGTGAGCCTCTACTTCAGACATGCATTCCCTGGCATCATGGAAGTGCCTGCCCTGCTGTGCTGCCGTTTTCTTCTGCAGCAGATTGGGAGGAAGTGGAGCCTGGCTGTGGCTCTCTTCCAAGCTGTCATCTGGTGCTTGGTTCTCCTTTTCCTCCCTGAAGGTACGGCTCATCCTTCCCCTGTGGGCTGCCCACAGGCTTCCTGCTCCCCAAAACCCCTCCCCAGTGCCGCCCAGACACCCTGGGAGTCAGTCTCCTGCACCCATAGCCTGCCCGCCCTGCAGAGGCCCTGGTACCTCCAATCCCTGGAGCACTACACCTCCTGGGTGGGGTCCCCCACACAGGGCACCCATACTCTCTCAGAGGCCTGAGAGAGAAGGGTGTGCTTTCCAGAGGAGAGTAGGCAGCCTTCTTCCACCAGATTCCAATCTACCTTAGAAGCAGGTCTAATGTGAATACATGTGAATACATGTGAATAAATGGTGGCAAAAATACTCCTTCAACTGCTGCCCCAGGCCCACCTGTCATCTGTAGCCCCTTTGACTGGGAAATGCCTGTTGTTATCTGTAATGTCACCAGGAATAACCTGCCCACTGAAAATGGAGCATATCATTGGGCTCAGCACTCAGGAACAGCTCTTGCATGGAGGCCTCTCCTTTCCAGGGGAGCTCAGTGCCCTGTTCCTGTAGACTCAGCACTAGGAAAGGAGGCAGGAAGGGCTGGTGTTATCTGCAGAATCTCAAAGAGCCCTAAACAATGGATGCACCACGAGTCCTAGAGCTGCAGCCATCCGTGGACTCCCACTTAGATCTGTGGACTCCCACTTAGATCTGTGGACTCCCACTTAGATCCGGGGACGCCCACCTAGAGTGACTGCCTGCGGAGCCCTTCGCAGCTGCAGCAAGGCCAGGGGAGGATAGCTGGGGGCCAGGGCTGGAATCGTGTGTCTGGATTGGGATCCTTCCATTCCCAGATGCTGGCAGCATGGATTGGCTAACACAAAATGCGGAAACAAATTCATTATTAAATGTTTATTGCCTGGTGCTTTTTTTAAAAGCAGGTTTGCACTGAGTCAAGCAGAAATATGTAAACTCGATGTGTGAGAGAAACTAGGAATGGACTCCCGGGTAGATAAAACCAGATCTCTGATTTCATCCCAGAGATAAGAAAAGCCAGGACTGGATGGGATGAGGCTGGGGCAGGGTCCTGCAGAGGCTGACGGGCAGGCGGGCAAGGGCTGAAGGCCCCAGCTTCACCAGGTCTGAGGAATGGGCTTTCCCCAGCTTCCCTTTATTGTGCCTGTCTAGCTGGCCAGAGAATATCCTGGAATGCTTGGGACCCATCCCAACCACTCAGGCTCCAGGAACCAAACACCCCCTTGCTCTGACCACCTTGCAGAGCCCCAGTGGCACAGGCCTGAGCAGGGGTCCCAGCCCACGGGACACAGGCCTGGCACGGAGTGGATCCCCAAGCTGCAGTTGGGTGAGGAGGTGCAATGAAGACAGAGCCCTGGGAGCAGAGACGGGGTTGTTGGGTGTAGCGTGGGAGACAGTGGCCTGAGGCCTCCCCACCCCTGCTGACCAACTCTGCCCTGCAGATGCTCTGCCTTTGGCCTGGTTGGGCCTCTGACAGCCTCCCCTCCTCTGACGGAATGCCTGAGCCTGCTGAGCAGCTGGGGAAGTGGTGGGGAGGCTGTTCAGATGCCAACAGAGGGCTGATAGGTGGGCCCCCTTCACCCGCCCCAGAGGAGGATGGCCTCAGACTCAGGCAGCCACGTTGTCCGGCAGCAGGGCTGAAATCCGTGACAGTCTTGGTGATCACACTGGGAGAGGTCAGCCTGGCTGCGACCGCCACGGTGTTCTTCCTCCACACCGCGGAGCTCGTCCCCACTGTGCTCAGGTATGGGGTCGTGGGCGGGGACTGACAATGACAAGATTAGTGCAGCAACTAAGACGAGCATTCACCTGGTGACAAGCACGGTGCTAAACAGTTTACATAAATTATCTCACGTAACCCCACCAGAAAACCCCCAAATGCCATCGCTAGCAGTATTTCAGACACAAGACTAGGGCAGACAGGGCAAGCGGCAGAGCTGGGATTTGGCCCTGGGAAGCTTGACTCCAGCCCCTGCCTTGCACTCATTGCCTGGAAGGCGTTCAGGCCACTTGGAGGCTCAGATCCTTCCCTGAGGTTGGTGATGGCAGCACGATCTCCCTGCCTGCCTGGCATCACTGCCCGTGCCCTCTCCCTGCACATCCACACGCTGCTGCATGGTTCTGCCTCCCCTCTTCACCCCTATGAAGGAGGCCCAGAAGAAATTACTGCCTACTTGGAATCACACAGTGAGGGCGGGACAGGGTGGAGCCTGGAGGGTGTGGGGTTCCATGCAGCTGCTGGTCCTGCCCAGCCCCTGGACCTGACAGACCCCTCATAGAAGCTCTCACCTCCACTTTCAGGGCAACAGGTCTGGGGCTGGCATCTCTGGCTTCGGCGGCTGGAGCCATCTTTTCCCTGACAACCGTCAGACAGACCCTCTCCCACCTGCCCGTCTTTTTCTGCTGCGTCTCAGCCATTGTGGGCTTTTCCCTCTCCTTCCTGCTGCCGGAAACACAAGATCAGTGCCCCTCTGACAGCCTGGACCACTCCTCACAGATGGGGTAGGTGTGGGAGGCTCCTGGGTTGTGCCAGGCTCTGAACCTGTGGCACGGACAGCATGTGGGGCATTGTCCATCCCCGCCCCTCTGCTGGAGAGCCTGTGACCCGAAGGCTGCCATGTCCGCAGCAGTCTCCCCGCCCCTCTGGCTGCTGCCTCCTATCTGCTCCTACCCACCCTCTGCCAGCTCCCATCCTTCTGGCCCTCCTGACCCGGCCGGGGCCATGTTGTCTCCTTTCCTTGACCCTGACTGCCTGTCTGGATGGGGGCATTGACTTTGGGCATGCCCTCCAGGGCACTCCTCCCAGAGGCTCCCTCTCCTCCCAGGTACAGGAGACTGGCTTGGAACTGACTCTGAGTACATCCCTGTCCTGTCTGAACTCCTAGTTCCTCATCCAAAACCCAGTCTCGATGAAGCACTCTGGCTTCTTGGCCCCAGCAGCCCAGGACCCATTTGGGAACTGGGCTCCACCCAACACTTCCGCGGGCACTTCTGGCCTCTGATCTCCCAAGTGTCCCCTGGAGAAGACTTGTCATGATTGGCAGAACCATCCCTTCCAGGATTTGGGAAAGTGAATATGCTCTCCCTGGACCTGAGGGGACCCGAGCACCAATGAGGAGCAGAGGTTGCCGGAGGCCCTAGGGTGTCCTCTGCTCTGTGCCACAGGAGTCACTGCCTCTGGCCTTCCTCTGCCCTCGTCCCTGCTGTCTTCCTCCTTCCCTCCCTCCCTGCTCTCATTGGAACCACACGTGCCAGGCGCTATGCCAGGGCTTGACTATCAAATGTCAGAGGTCAGTGCTCCCCAGCCACGAGCAAGCCATAGCTTATGGGGAGCCAGACAATGCAAACAGCTGCCGCTGGTGGACTCTGACTGTGAGGGGTACAGGATCTCTGCGAACCTAACGAGGGAAGAACATTAATTTGGAGAATCGGGGAAAATGGCAGTGACATCTGAGTAGGGCTTTGAAGGATGAATAGAAATTTGCCCCACTGTAGAGAGAGGAAGTTCGGCGCCACACAGGGAGAGAGGGCAGTGGTTATGGGCACAGGCTCCGGGGGTTGCAACCTCCTACTATGTGCACGGAGAAGTTACCTCATACCTCTGAGATTCCGTTTCATCATTTGCAAGGTGGAAGGAGAACAGAGTTGTAACCATAGCTAAGCTGCATTGAGCATTTGCATATAGAGCCTGTTGTATACATGCCTTATCTCACTCTGTCCTCAAAACAATCCAATGCCAGGTAGGACCTGTCACTATTCCCGTTTTACAGATGAGAACATTGGGGCACAGAGAGGTAAGGCCATGCGGCCCAGTCGTCCTCTCCTATGGGATTTTGTTTTGAGAGGATTCAACCTACATAAAGCAGCTGACACTGGGTCTGGCATATGGCCAAGTGCTCAGTGAATGCTGGCAGTGAAGATGGTGGAGTGACCCCAAAGCCAGAAAGAGAAGGGTCTCCCGGGGGTTGGGAAACGGAGCAGGCCTGATTCTGGAGGCTCCTGGCAAAGCTCGGCTGGGGACCTGCTGCAGTGAGAACGCCCCACCTCTTGCGCACGCAGGGCTGGGCTGCTGAAGGCATGAGCTGCTGCTTTCCTCAGCTTCCAGAAAGATGTGGCCCAGGACTTAGCCATTGATGGTTCTTTCAGGAATGAGGTTGAGGACATGATGACGGAGGATGCGTCATCTGATGATGTGTCTGAAGAAGCAGCCAAGAACAGCGTTCTCAATGCCCAGATCCTGAAACTGGACCCATACCCTATCTCCAGCACTTCCTTGGGGGGATTCAATGAAGGGGAAGCAGACAGCCGGGCTCCCTGAGGGCCAGGCCCCCAGACCGTCTTGGGTTGGAATGGAGTGGCCAAGCATGGGCTTGTGGATTTCAGGCCACAAATTCCAGGCCCAGTTTAGTCAGGGGGGCAGGGTTAGTCCTGCTCCCGGCCAGCCCTTGACATAAAAAAAAATAAATAAAAAAGGCCCCTCTTCTGCAGGAGCTCTACTGTGATTCATTCCAATAAAGGTACAACGGTCCTGAGATGGCTGGGTCAAAGCTGGCCGTGTCTGGAGAATGCAGAGGCCCTGGCGTGGGGGAGGTGGGTTAGACAGACTCCTTAGTGTCTTTGGCTACTTGCTCTGGGACAGGGAGGAGCTCCCTAGAAGAGGGCAGAGGAGGGAGAAGGGCAAGGTCTATGAGGGCCAGAGGTGAGCAGGACTGTGCCTCCACGCCACCCATCACCGCAGTCCCACAAAACCTCTAGCACAGTGGGTTTCCACGCGAAGCACAGGCTGAGGACAGATTTCAAAGCTCCATTTCACGCATGAGCCGGGGCAGGCATGGGATGTAAACTTCCCCCACTTGTCCCGTTGCGCAGGGCTTTCTCACTGTCTTTCTGCTGATGCTGCAAATAAGCATGGCCTTGGGAATTACCCGAATCAGTCCACGTCCCTGGGGAGGCCTTCCCTGATGGCTCCACCCCAGCTGACCTCTGGCCTCCACTACACTGAGAATAAGCCCCCATACTGCAGCTTACATCCCAACTGCCCTGCAGGGGATTCTGCCCTTCCCCGCTGGCATGGGGGCTCTGCCAGGCAGGGTCCAGGACTCCTCAACCAGACTGTGAAGTCCTTGGGTGAGACCCTCAGCACCTCCTCCTGTCTCCCTGGGAGAGGCGTTGGGGCCTGTCTTACCTCCTTCACTCTTGGCTAGTTTATTGGAAGATCATGGGCTTGCAGAGAATCGCTCTGGTTTGACTCCTCGTAGCCTCTGAGGGAGGAAGCAGATAAGCATGTCAGTTCTCATGGATCTCCCGGGCAGGTTGGAGTCCAGTGAAGCAGGGAGCAGCCTCCAGCGTTCCCAGTGCTCTAGCCCAGCACACTGCTCTGGGCCTGCGCTCCCAAGCTTTGGGATACCAAGAAGCTGGTGCCCACGCCTTTCCCTTTCAGTGTCATTTTTCTGTGCCCACTGTTCTTAACTTGGTTTCCTAGGATTCGGAAACTGGGTTTCTGAAGTGGGGTTTGAAGGTCACATAAAGAGATCTCACAAAGTATCTGCTCATAGGACCACGGATGCTTGAATAGTCTCTGTAGCTTTTTCTGGCGGAGGCCTGCCTGTGAGCTGTGATGCCAACAGATTAGCCACATGTAAACACCACAAGTTACTTTGCCAGGAATCAGCCAATGCGACAGGGAACAGGAGGAAGAGAGGGGTCAGGACAGCAGGCTGATGGGGCAGTGCGGGTGTGCAGGAGCTGGCTGTACAGGCCACGGCTGCCAGCAAGACCAGCTTTCCATTTGTCTTAGGTGGCCAGGGTGTCTCAGTCCCAGATAGGACCTACCTGGTTGCTGACTGAAGCAATGGCTAATATTACTTAGAGTTTGACAGTGTGTACTTTAATAGACCAGACCCATGCTGTCCCACACAGCTGCCACTAACCAGACATAGGTATGGAGGGCTTAAAATGTGGCTAGTTGGATTTGAGATTTGCTGTAACTGTGAAAAAAATCACTGGATTTCAAAGGCTTAGTACAAAATAAAACATAAAATAACTCAGTATTTTTTATAGAGATCACACATAAAAATGGCAGTATTTTGGATATATTGAGAGCATAGAACATTAAAATTAATTGCACCTATTCTTATTTGTTTATTTTAATTTTAATTTAAGTTCTGGGGTATATGTGATGAGCGTGCAGGTTTGTTGCATCGGTATACCTGTGCCATGGTGGTTTGTGGGACCTATCAGCCCATCATCTAGGTTTTAAGCCCTGCATACATTAGGTGTTTGTCCTGATGCTCTCCCTCCTCTTGCCTCCCGCCCCCGACAGGCCCTGGTGTGTGATGTTCCCCTCCCTGTGTCCGTGTGGTCTCATTGTTCAACTCCCACTTCTGAGTGAGAACGTGCGGTGTTTGATTTTCTGTTCCTGTGTTAGTTTGCTGAGGATGATGGTTTCCAGCTTCATCTATGTCTCTGCAAAGGACATGAACTCATTCTTTTTTTGTGGCTGCATAGTATTCCATGGTATATATGAATCGCACCTGTTCTTAAAAATGTTTTGAAATGTGACTACCAAAAATTTTAAAACTATACACGACTTGTGTCTGTGTCTCACATTATAGTTCTGTTACACAGCACTAGACTAGAACATTCCTTTTATTGTGCTCACACATCATGCTTATCACACAGGTATCTTGGTGTAATACCTAAGTGCCAAAATTGTATGAAATTGTATATGGCTAATAAATTCTCTTTCTCACACGTGATATTTTTTTTTTTTTGAGACGGAGTTTTGCTCTTGTTACCCAGGCTGGAGTGCAATGGCGCGATCTCAGCTCACCGCCACCTCCGCCTCCTGGGTTCAGGCAATTCTCCTGCCTCAGCCTCCTGAGTAGCTGGGATTACAGGCATGCACCACCATGCCCAGCTAATTTTTTGTATTTTTAGTAGAGACGGGGTTTCACCATGTTGACCGGGATGGTCTCGATCTCTTGACCTCGTGATCCACCCGCCTCGGCCTCCCAAAGTGCTGGGATTACAGGCTTGAGCCACCGCGCTCGGCCCACACGTGATATTTTTATGATAGACATGTCGGCAGGGGCCTCCCTGTGCAGAGAGAGGTCGATAATCTTGCAGGTTGTGGTGGTATCCACGGATGCCTGTGAATTCTGGAGCTCTTGTTTCCTGGTCACTGACTACTGGCCTTTGTGGACTTCTCATCTGCTTCTCTCAGCTGTTTTTACAGCGGCTCAAGCGTTGGCCTAAACGTGGCAGCAGCCTCTTGTCCTCTTTCATCCTCCACCCTTGACGTGGGATGCTACTCACAATTTTCCAAAGGCTTTGAGCTCCTGTTGAGGGGGTGCACGGGGTGAGTGTGAAGCAGCTTGGTACAGGGCGAGGCCCCCGGGAAAACTCAGCCCCCCATGAATGCAAGCCCCAAGCCCAGAAACAAACCTAAACACTTGTCAATCCTTAAGGCCTTGGAAGAAACAAACACTAAAGCAATCCACAGTAAGGTTGCCAGGGTAACTCAAGACTTACAGGGCTTTCTACGGAAGATGAATCTCAGTGAAAATGAACTTTTAAGTAAAAATTGCTGAGCACATGAAGAAATAAAATGGCATAAAAACGGAAGGAATACACTGGAGTTCATCAGTGAACTAGTGGTGATAGCGTTCTTTCTGAAAAGACTTTGTTTAAAATGTTCAGAGATAAAGTCACATAACTGCTAAGACACAAACTTGGAAAATGACACCCATAAATCCTATAAATGAACACTATAGTGGCTGAATTAAAACCATAATGTAGAAGTAAAATCAGAATAAGATACCACCCAAGAAGGAGTGAATTGCTTGATCCTTTTCTATTATTAAATACAATTTCCCCGTCTCTATTAATGCTTTTTACCATGTTTTATTGCACCTGATAGTTTTACAGTAATCTTTTAAACTTTTTAATTGAAGAATAATATACACATAGGTACATAAATCATTTAATGTGTTTATTTGTTTTTAGAGACAGGGTCTTGCTCTCTTTCTCAAGTCAAAATGCAGTGGTGCAATCATAGCTCACTATATCCTCGATTTCCTGGGCTCAAGTGGTCCTCCTGCCTCAGCGTCCTGAAGTGCTGAGATTACAGGTGTAATAAATAGTGTCTCTTCCTTTCCAGTGTTTGTCTTGTATTTCTCTTCCTTGCCTTGCTGTACTAGCTAGTTCCTCCTGTACAACGTGGAAAAGACGTGGTATGTATAGGCGTTCTTGTCTTGACTCTGATTTTGAGGGAAATCGCTCGCCATTTCAACATTGCATGACGTTTTTGTAAGTTCGTTGTGTTGTATACGGCCATGATCAGATTAAGGAAGTGTTTTACTGTTTCTATATTTCCAGGAGTTTTTCTTCTCCTTTTGATATTAAATTGTATCAAATATTGCCCTTTTGGAAAAGAGCCTCCTCCACCCCAGGGGCGTTCTGGAGTAGCTGGAGACCTGAGGTGCCAGATTATCCGCTCTCCACTTTCCACCCCACCCCTAGTCTGGGACCTGGTACAGCCCCCTGCCCAGCAGATCTGTTCCTCCACCCTGGGCCATGTCTATTCCACAGCTGCAGGCCGGGACTGAAAAGTGGGGCAGAGCCTCAGAGCTGGTGAGGGGACAGGTATCTCTTGTCATCATAAGAACCTCGGCCCCAGAACCACAGGATGCAGGCCTTTCTGCCAAACACATCTTGTACCACCAACGTGGACTCATTGCTCCTATAAGTAGCAGGTTAAGAAGGGCGCTGGGCAGGGGGTCCAGGCTCTGCGGGCAGTGCAGGGGACTCTGGGAGGGTCTGTAACTGGCAGTGAAGAATACCTACAAGGTGATGGAGGTTGGGGGTGCATTGGTAGGCCAGACCTTCAGCAGCCCACTGTTTGGAGAGACCCTGAAGGTCATTGCGTCTTTGGCCAGCTCAGAGAGGAAAGGAGGACAAGCCTGAGCCCAGGTGGCCGCAGGTACCATCGCAGGAAGACTTCACCGACCCCTAGGTTCGCCCGCATCTCAGGTCTGCCCCTCTGGGCTTGCTCAGCACCACAGGGCAGGGCAACCCTGGCATCATATGAGACTGGGGGACTGGCTGCGCTGCAGGAATTCCAAATGGTACCAGCCCTGGGGAGCCGCCTTGCAGGGACGTGATACACGAGCGCCGGTATGATGTAAACATTTGTCTCTTCCAAAACTCATGGTGAAATTTAACCTCCAATGTGGCAGTATTGAGAGCTGGGCCTTTAAGAGACGATTAGGTCATGGAAGCTCTGCCCTCGTGAATAAATTGATCCATTCATGGACTAATGAATTAATGGGTTATTATGGGAGCAGGAATGATGGCTTTATAAGAAGAAGAAGAAGAGAGACCTGGGCTGGAACATTCAGCTCCCTCACCACGCGATGCCCTGTGTCTGCTCAGGCAAAGAGCCCCCACCAGCAAGTGGGCCCTCACCAAATGCAGCTCCTCAGCCTTGGAC